TGCCATAGATTTCAGGGGTATTCGATCGAAGGCAAAATTTGGTGCATCATTCTTGAAACTCTTATTCCACTTCTTCACATTCCCTTTTTGAGAAGCCAGAAAGTCGTTTTCAACTCAAAAGTGAGCGAAATGTGAGTAGAGGCACATGACAGCCCTAGAGATAACCTAGTTGTCGAGCTACAAAATGGGGATGGTAGATTTCCCAAGTGGTCCGTCGAGTGTCACAAGTGAATGGAAGGTCGGGAGCCAGCATGAACGATCCCTAGGTCTGTAGAAAATCATTGTTTTCTGTTTCCTTCCATGCACATATGGAAAGTCTGATGAAGGATGGATAGTTTATTCGACGACAAATTAGGAATTCATCATTCGTAAGGTCGTCCAAGTCGAAGAAATATTTAAAAATCTCTTCGGCTGAGTGAGTTGGGTTTAGGCGAGAAGCCAATTGAAGACCCATTTCTTCAAACGAATCAAAGTTAAAGTTCTCTGGCCTTAGGATAGCAAAATAAACCTGCAACCAAAGTTGAAAGACGCAGAATGGGCCGTTCTGGTACGAGTTGATTTTGCCAATAGTTGCTTCAGCTAAGCATCGTGAGGTTGGCAAGAATAGTGGGGCTAAGAGACAGAATGTGACTGTTGGATAGGGCTTCAGCTACCAGCATATTCTCAACAAGGTATTTGTTTGACTTGGTACAATAAATGAATTTGTTGTACCAATAGAACAAGAAGGCATTTTCTTCCTTCATGAGTTTTCACTTTTTCTTGGCCAATGAAGTGGTTGATGAGAGAGCTGTAATTGAATAAGTTCTTGTGTAGCTTGTTCACTTCATCTTTTGATACTTTCTATCGATTATCCTTTTCCAAGACTTTGAGGGCACGCTCATGGAAGACTATTTTCAAATCCAAGTCGAACTGATACCAAGAAAGAGTGGTTTCAACTAGACCAAATGGTGAGGTGCTGAGGATAACCATTATATCTAGAACAGTTGGACCAATGGGGCCGAGGGGAAGCACCATGGTATTGGTGGCCGAGCACCAGAAACTCAAGGTAGCTATCATGAGTTTTCAATTCATGTTAACCTCGATGGTCGAGATTTTAATGGCGTAAAAAATGCCAAGTGACTTCCAGTCATCGCCAAAGTGGGGTTCCATTTGGCTAACCCAAGTAACCTAGGCCGCAAGGGCCAAAGACTAGACTCCCTGACGTTTGGTCGATTCTTATTTCGACTAATCATACCCTTGGAATAAAGGACTCAGGCAGTGGTTCTTGAGCATTTTAGTTATGACCTCTGGAATGTCATCTTTAAACAAGTGACCCAGGATCTGGTGAGAGGCAACTGAATCTTCTTCAAATCAGAGGGTTTTGATGGCATTCCAATCGATGAAATCGTGACATTTGTCATATTCTTCGACAAGATTGGTGATGAAGGTATTGGCAGCCATTGAAGCAAAAGTTCAGAGGTTTTTGTCTGGGTTTCAAAGGTTGGTCTTTTTTGGGATTTGAAAAGCTCAGAGCAAAATGGCAAGAGTTTTGAGAATTTTGGAAGCGTAAAGTTGGAATGAGGCTGGAAATGATATTTAAGCAACTGGAGAAGAAGATTGATAGTTTCAAATTCAAAGTTTTAGGGGTAAATTTGGCTGAAATAGTTTGCAATCATTACAAAAATTTAAAAATCAAGGCGAAGAGGTAAAATAACACTCGAATTGGGGTTGCACGATTGCTTGTGGCAGCGAACTTTAGGGCATGATTGTTAGGAATAAATGTTTAGACATCTATGCGCCTCGGGCATGAAGCTCGTGTGTTGCCGAATCTAAACAGTCGCGACGAGAAGCGCCGCATGTTAAACCTTTGCGATTATCAAGGACTGACATATAGTGGGAGATTGTGCATGATAAGTGTATCTGAGCAGATAAGAATATTCATTTTTGCAAGGATCTTTAGATTGACCACAAAGTGTAGGCTAATGGTTTATTTCTCGGTTATAAATAGATTGCTTCTTCACTGAAGTTCGACCAGACACTGTAGATCGAAGACCTCAGAAGCGAGGGGGTAATGTTTGGGCCCAAAATAATGCTTTAGGCCAGGTCTAGAGTTATTCTCGGTCCAGAAAGGGATACTGGGAATATTCTGTCATATGCCGAATCTAGTGGAGTTTAGCCAAATCTTATTAGGAGATGGTTTGGCCTGGATAAGGGCAAAGTGGTGGAATCCTAGTGCAATGAGGATTCTTTAAAAGCTAAGGATGCTTTGAATCAGAAAAGATGCTGAGAATTGAGGGATGAATCTGAGTGATAAAAGAGCTTAGTTCAGAGTCCTATAGGGGTTAGGATTGGTCGAGACCTAATCAGATTGGGTTGATGAATTCTAGTCCAAGTTAAATTCTACCTCGGCCATGGAGGAAATCACTACTATAAATAGAGAAAGGGGTGCATCATTCAAAGCCCTTCCAATTCAACACACAACTACTATGCGCAAACCTCTCAAACATCTTGAGATTTATATTTTCTTTTTTCCTGCCAACACATCTTCAGTTTGGATAAATAGCAGTGTGGAGGTAACATGCAGCATCTTTAGTTTGGATAAACAGTACTGGAACCGTAGAATCAGCCAACCAAGGAGCACCTTTAGTTTGGATAAATAGTACTGTTTCGAGACCGACTGGTTATTTATCCAAGTCTAGATCGACAAGGATTTCCGAGTCTTTATTGGTAAAGGGTATCTCATTAGCCTTCTCGACGAAGTGAGGTGTTACCAGGTTACTAGGCTCAGTACATTGAAAGCCGAGTTTATTTTATGATTGGATATTCACAAGTATATTTTAGAGTTCGGCATTCTGACGGCCGAACCACATTTACAATCAAGACACTTATCTCTTTTAAGTATTTGTGTCCGTACAATCAGGTACCAATTCGACGTACTTATATTCTCACAAATATAATTACTGAAGCCAAACCCAGCGCTTACGATTCGTGAACTTCGAAGAAACTAGCAGCCTTATCTTCAGGCTCTAGAACCCAAAGGCCGAGATAAGTTCTTTTCGCAGTCGGAATCGCAAGTTGTAGAAGTCAGCAGCACACCTAATGCCACATCAACATTCATTTTACTCTCCGGCCGAGTTCGGCCGACGAGTTGGCATGCTCCACATTCAATCGGAGGGCATAGTTAACTTATTAATTACTCGACTTGCACGCCACATAGGCTAAGTAGTTTTTAGGGCTAACACACGTCCACATCACCAAGCCACCCCTAAAGCACGTAGTTAGCTCCTTAGTCACTTGGCCTAAGCAGCACACAGATGCTATTTGCAAAAAATAAAAAAAATAAATAGAGCCGTTTAGGCCAACATTGAATAATTTTCTTTGGCTTCAGCAAAAGGCATTTATTTTTCATGTATCAGTTTGTGGTTTAGAAAATTATGGTGTGTAGTCTCACTAAATATGGTGCGAGAATAATCTCAATCATGTACTTCTTGACCAAGGAACTTGAATTCGACTTGATAATCATGATGGGAATTCTAAGAGATTTGATTGAACTGTTGTCGTTGTAATTATGTTGGAGAAATATAGTATGAGCTTAGAGATGAGGACAAAATTGATAGGGTTTTTCAGCAAGAAGACAACGCCAAAGTTGTAGAATCAGTTCGGCTTAGGGAATCTTAATTGCTTGGGTAAATGATGAGTCTTTTAAGTTCCACTGATTATTTATCTTAAGTCTCATCTGGTGAGGTGTCTCTAATTCTTTTGTTGAAAGATGTCACTTCATTAAGTTTCTCGGCGAAATTGAGTATTTTATGATTGAATATTCTCAAGTGACAATCACAATTTGGCATTCAGACGGTCAAAAGACTTTTACAATAAAGACACTCATTTCCTTTGAGTATCTTTGTCCCTATAGTTTGATATTAGTTCGGTGGACCTATATTCTTACCAATGTTGAACCCAGTGCACAATATCTAGAACTTCATAGTGATTTGCATAACCTTGTCTTCAAGTTATAGAACCCAAGGCCGAGAGTGTTCCCTCCTTGGCTTAAATCATTTATTTAGGAGTCAGCAGCACATTTCACCACATCCACTACATTCAAGACATTCGCCTAACCAAGCTCGATAACGAGTGGGCACACCCGTATCAGCCATCAACAACTAAAGAACGCAGTTAACTCCTTAGTTACTCGTCCTACGCACCACATAAATTGTATAATTTTTAGAGCCAACACTTTCTTTTATATAAATATTCTCACCACTACTACTATCATCATCATTGATCAGCTAATTAAGCTAAATCATTTTAGTTTCGTACGAGCACCTTGATCTCGAAAATGACGAATTTGTAGCTCAAATTTTTACTTTGAATATGATTAATTTGCTGCCTTTCTGTTTTTGGCACATATATATACACGATCGCACCCGTTAACCAGACGCACTCACTCAATTGCATCAATGACACAAATCCACTATAGCCAGCTGTTCATCTCTCTCTCTCTCTCTCTCTCTCTCTCTCTCTCTCTCTCATACTAGTCATTCTCTCTTTGGTTTTGTGTATATACTTCTGCAGGGTGCATATATAAACCTTGGCAGATAATAAGTTAAAAAGCGCGCAATCATTAACAAATTTACCAACAGTAGTTCTTAGTAAGTGGATTTAGTTACTGTAAAATACATTACCAGCCAGCTAGAAAAAGATTAGAAAACTATCTATTTGTGTTTCACTTTCAAACTCAGACTTCTTTTTGGATTTTCATATAGAAAAGAAAAAATGAGTCACTTTCAATGTTGAGAGAGAGAGAGAGAGAGATTAGAGAGATGGCGTCTTTTTCCCTCCACGCAGCTTAAAACACGCAGACTGGCAAATATAGGCAGTGCCCTCGACACGTTTCGACCTTCCAAATTCCCATTCTTTTTGTTCCACTCCAACAAACCAAACCAATCCAATTCACCCCCACATTATTTTTCACATATATAGTTTGTACACACAAGAAACACTACATAAATAATAAAAATTAGAAATAAAAAGCTATCAAATAAGCCTTATACATTCATATATTTATACAGGTAGCCAGCTAGCTAGCTAGACAGAGAGAGAGAGAGACGGGCATGAGTTTTGCTAGCTAAATAAGAAAAAAATCACGAGAGGAAGTAAGGAAGAGGGAGGGAGAAATGGAAAAAAAAAAAGAAGAAAGAAAACAGCTAGGGCTTATCGTATGTTTGCTTCACGCAAACAGCTAAATGTGGGTATTAAGCCTTTGCTCTCTCGCGTGGCTTTAAAGTCTCTTTTTTCTATCCCATCTCATCAGCCTACTAGCGTTTTTTATCACCTCTCTCTCTCTCTCACTAAATAACAACAAATAAACCCAAAACGAAAACAAACACACCCCCCATCCCCACCCCACCAAACCCCAAATCTCCTCCTCCTCCTCCTTTTTCACGAACATTAATGACGCCTCCACTCCTCACGATCATAAATCAAAGCGAGTAAATTATATATATATTCAACAATTTATAATTTAATTAATAGCAAACAACCCATCAAGGCAGAGATCGTCCATGAATCCAACAAACCCTAATGGTGGTGATGGTAGTGGTGGAGGGAGCAGTAGTAGTGGTGGTGGCGGTACCGGCAGCGGCAGTCCATGTGGCGCGTGCAAATTTTTGAGGAGGAAGTGTGTGCCAGGGTGCATATTTGCACCCTACTTTGATTCGGAGCAAGGCGCAGCTCATTTTGCGGCGGTGCACAAGGTTTTCGGAGCCAGCAATGTCTCCAAGCTTCTTCTTCATATTCCAGTACATAAGCGGCTCGACGCCGTTGTCACCATATGTTACGAGGCTCAAGCCCGCCTTAGAGATCCAGTCTACGGCTGTGTTGCTCACATATTTGCTCTACAACAACAGGTGTGTGTCTGTGTTAACTTTTTCATTTTTAGATCAACTTAATTGATCACTTGAGTTCTTTTATTAATTTTTTGGTAAATGAGTTGATGAAACCAACTTCTTGATAAGGCTTAATTGTGATGTTGTTCTTCATGTTTTTTTTTTTTTTTTTTTTTGTAATTACTTTTTACGTCATTTTATCAGCTTTTTGAAGTAATACACATATACAAGGTAGTTTACTCTTAATTAATTAATTTCTACCCATTTCTGATTAAGTCCATTATACTAACCCAAAAAAAAAAAGTCCATATAACCTTTTTTTTTTTGATTTAATCCAAAAATATTTTTTTCTTTTTTTTGGGTACTATAGGCCATTGATTTCCACATTTTTCAACTTGCATTGACCCAAAAGATCTTTCAAAAAATATATTAGTAAAGAAGGATAGGGCAAAGGCAAACCATGGCCTTATTGACAGGAGGGTGTCTAGATCTTTACTGAGAGAGTAGGACCTTCCTCGGTGCCCTTAATGAGAAATATATATAGATATAAGCTTTTTTTTAGTTAGGAAATTAGAGCTTAATTAAAAAATAAAATCAAGGAAGAATAAAATGTAAACTGTAAAGGACACCCCTAGGGGACAGTTTTGTGCTTGACTGAAATCTAGAGGCCTTTGTTTAATAACAAATCATGTGGTCGGCGGTTACACTAGGCAATACAGGTGTGTGCCATCTTTCTGTGCAAATTGTGGTTCTTTGCTGGTATTAAGGAGGAATGGTCGGTTTGTTTCTTCATTCAATCTAAGTAGCCTTTTAATTAATTAAGGATGACGAGAGTCATTTTTCTTTATATATTTTCCCACTATTAATAACTTATTTTAATTCAGCAATTCCTGGGAGAAGTGGAGAAGGATTGTTTTTGTTGTCCACATTTTTTTATATCCATTCCATCTCATTTTCAGAGATTGGCCACCAATTTCAGCTCCACATCTCCAAATATAGAATTGAGTGCAATATGAACACTAGTATGATAAGTACATATGATATTATACCCTATTAATTAGTTAAATATGAACTGTATTATTGTTAGTGTAAATCATATTTTTGTTTAAAAAAAAGTCAAATATATATCATCTGACCAAAGCAAAAAACCCATTGAAATATGACACCCAAAAAATAAAAAAAACTATTTCATATCTGCAAAAATATATTTGCAACTTTGGGTCAAAAGAAATTGTTAATATTTTTTAATAAAATTTTGAAGCATTGGATGAGAACTATTTATATCACAATACTTATAGTTACTTCTATGTAAGAAACTAGATTACTTCCTTTTCTTTAAAGAGACATAACTTACTAATATATTTAATTTCTCTCAAATGCAAAACATATGTGAACCTTACACTTGAAGAATGAGTGTCACACAGTGCATATTATTGTTGCAGTAGGACTATTTATATCACATTAATGTAGGGAATTGTTATTGGCATTTTAAAATTCTCATACATTCCAAACTTTCTATATTTAGAAAGAAAAATATATTTGTGAGAAGTGTAGAATGAAATTTTTGAAGTGCCAATAACGCTTCTCTTAATTTATTAAATATGATAATTATTATCATATCTCTCACTAATTCAAGACTCACGTGAACTTCACAGCTGAAAAGTGAACGTCTCATCATACTCTCTACACGTTAGTGTTGCAATGGAATTATTTATATCACATTAATTGACAACATACGTTAATTTCTATTATATCTTTTGACCTCGCACTCAAAAAATGAGCGTTACGTACATACCTGTGAGAAGTGTGATAACCAATGTGAGTGACTAATCAATCAATGTAGAATCTACTTTTTCTCATGCATTTGGGATGTGAATATGTGCTTGTCAGTGTTCCAAAATGTCCCTGCCCAGCGCCGTTTAGTCTGTGTTTAAACGCTAGTTGGTTGTCCATTACCACGATTAGAAAGGACATCTCCAAGTATAGAATTGAGTGCAATATGAACATTAGTATGATAAGTACAATGATATTATACACTATTAATTTGTCAAATATATATCATCTAGACCTGTCTAGGCGTTTAAAAAATAATAAATGGCGTCTAAACATGCCTAGGCGCCTACCTAGATCCGTTTAGGCACTCACCTAGGTAGCAACTCTCACTTAGACAAAAAAGAGATACTTCTATTTTGCATTTTTATTTTTTAATAAATTGAAAGATACTTATTGAATACTTGGATGAACACTCATTATATGTGTTTTCTATATGTTTTAGTACTTTATAATTTATATGTCATTCTATTTTGCAATTTATGTATCTCAAAACAAATTATATATTTTTAAAGTATAAGTAGATATTTATTTATATGATATAATAAATTTAATTAAAATTATAAAAATCGCCTAGGCCCCGCCTAGACGCCTAGATGCTAGACCTTGCCTGCCAACCAACTAGCTCCTAGCGCCTTTTAAAATCTTTGTGCTTGTAACCCTTAGGTTCGAAAATTTTCCATAACCTCATAGCCTAATTATACCACATGTGCATCCTATGTTATATGTAGCAATAACCTTGTTATTAGATAAGTTAAATAACTACATAGTATAGTTTGTGATCAATGAGTAACTATATTCATGTAATGGAATCATGTGAGAAAAATTTAATTAGGTAATTTTTTGGATATGTGGAATCAAGTTACAAATTTCTTTCTAGAGTCAATAGTTTAAAGCTTGATTGAGTTAAAACTCAAACTATATCTCTATAAAGGGATGTGCTATCCGCACACCATTTTTTATTTCTCACACCCTCCTAATTTGCTACCATCGAATCTAATGAATTAAAAAAAAAAAAAAATCAAATGATAGAAATTAACTAGAGGTGTGAGAAGTAAAAAGAGATGTGTAGATAGCATACCCCTCTTATAAATAGTCACTATAATTGCATCCAATTTCAACAGCCAACGTCACCTTCCCCAACCCCAAGAACATATATGCAGAAGAAATTTTGTTCTTTTTTCTTCCTGTGCCGCGAGAATCCTTTGTTTGTTCGTAATCCCATGTTCGAGTACACTGTACACATCGTTGAAGCACCCTTTAAGTGTAAACAACGACAAAGAAGGCTTAAATTTATCTCAAACCACTAATATTATGCATTATCAGTATAGAATATACAGATCAATGATCGTCGACTCGTTTATATAATCTTAAATTTAACACATGCTCAGTTTCCTAATTCATTCTCTAACTAAGAAATCATTTTCCAAACTTCAACTAGTCCCTTGTTTCTTGAAAAATACTCAAAACTATATATACAGGTGTCCGGAGATTATTTCATTAAAATTTGAATCATTATATTTATAAAGAGTTTTGATCCACACTGACTTATATGTTATTATAATCGTCGCGTTTACGGTTAAGGTTTCTATGTGTGTATGAAAATCAATTCATTGTTGTGTGTGTTTTTTCTTTTTTGCGTTTACGGATTGTACATGCAGGTGGTGAATCTGCAAGCTGAGCTCTCATACTTACAAGCCCACCTGGCGACAATGGAGCTTCCATCACCACCACCTCCACCCCCTCCACCATCAGCAGCAGCACTCATTACCCCACCTCAATTCTCCATCTCAGACCTTCCATCAGCAGTCTCCTCCATGCCCGCTTCATACGATTTGTCCTCACTTTTCGAACCCATGGTCATGCAACCTTGGGCCATTCAACAGCGTGCGCTGCATGACCCGCGTCACCATCATCAATTCGGAGGCGGCAGTAGCGGTCCGGGTTCACCAGCTGGCGGTGGTGGTGGAGATCTTCAAAGTTTGGCTCGTGAACTACTTCATAGGCATAGCTCATCTCCATCACCTGGGTCTGTACCGTGCTCTGAGGGTTCACCATCTCATTCTCACCCCAAATGAGATTAGTACTGATAAAAGATCGAACCAATCATCAATTAATTTACGAGTACTTGCCTGATGAAATGCATGTTAACTCATGAACATATAGAATATATATATATATATATATATATGTATGTATGTATGTACTAGCAAGAGAACATAGTGTTAGGGTTTCGGTGGGCAGGTAAATTTAATGACGCATTTATAATTTTTCTATTAACTTCTTATTTTGTTAATTCTTTTCTTTTTCAAAAAATGTAGTGAAGATTTAAACGTTAGATTATAAATATAGGGCATTTGATGGGTCACTAGCTACAATCCTATATGACTACTATCATTGGATTGGATATGCTGGATGTGAATCATTTCAGTTTTGGTGTAGACATTAATAACAGGGGAGTGAGCATACCGCATAAGAACTTGAACCTCTTCCAATATCACGAAGACAAGAGTTCCGTTCTATTAGACTCCATGATTTAAGAATATTGTGGTCACTCATCGTTCACTCTTAATTCAATGGTAGAGAAAAAAAAGTGAAAAAAAAAAATGATCACCTACCATACTTGATAGAGTTTGGATTGTCGCGGCTTTAGGGTTTTGAGAACTAGTGATGTTGTTGAATCTCTATGCGTTTTTCTTACATTTTCATTTTTTTGGTGGTCTTGCTTACAGTGATGACTTTATGTGTGATCCAGTACACATTTGTTGTGTCTATCATCTTTGCGGCAAATTTGTACCAGTAATCTCATGCTTGTGGTAGCTGTTTAGGGGTTTAATCATTTTGATTGTTTGTGCAAATTACCTCTAGATCAATGTATTTTTTGTCTTTGGAGAAATATATCCAGGTGGCACCCGTTGTAATCAATATTGGTTAGTAATGAAATTGGTGTCGCTTCTGGTGAAAAGAAAGAAAGAAAGAAAGAAAGAAAAAAAAAAAAAAAAAAAAAAAAAAAAAAAGACACTTTTGTGCTATCGTGGTTAATTTGTGGTCTATATTTTCGTAGGATTTTGTTTGTTCCTCTTTCTCTGGTACTTGTTCGACTCTAAGGTTCATTTCTCTGCTGTCATATGGATCTTGTCAATTTTCTCGTGTTGGTTTACGGTGACGGGCAAGTTGAAGGTACGGTTAAGGTGACTGCGGCTTCAGTTTTCTTTATTCTAGGTTCACTCAAGAGTATTCATTTTTTCTATGGGCTATAGTTTAAAGATTTTGATGTTTTTTGTCCTTCATTGGCCTCTTGGGCTCTATATACTTTCAAAGAAAAGTCAAACCTAAATTATAGCAAGCCAAAACTTAGAGCGCGCGGATGATCTGTGCGGACGAAGATTCAACGGCTGTGATCAACCTAGTCTGTCGGTAGAAATGGGTCCTAAAAACCAGTATAATTCACAAGTTTGGTTCCACTTTGCAGACAACATATCAAGTTGGTGATGTACATCTTCATTTGCTCAAATGACTTTGGTTTCTCCAAATTGCCGCCTACACCTATCAAATTCATAGTGAAGATAAGGTATCCAAATCCTTCCCTTGAGACCCTTGTTATCATCACTATCGTTGAGGCCGCTATCCATCTATGTGTTAACAAATCTTATAGAGTTTTAAGAGAGAAAGTAGAGAAAGAGAGATGTATTTCTTCAACACTTCACTACATTGATTCATGAATTATTATATCACTTGTTTATATATAAATACATCCCCATATAACTAACTCATCTAATACATTTGTGACACATGACACACATCTAATACATAACACTTGGCACAATCCTAAGCTAATCTCTATAACCTAACATTCCCCCTCAATCTTATGAAGGTGAGAACCGAGCATAAGATTGGAACAGTGAACATTAAACTGAGAAGAGCATAACCCCTTAGTGAGCACATCTACACACTGTTCTGCAGAAGATACAAACTACAACACAATTATGCATTGTTGAACACGTTCTCGCATAAAGTGGTAGTCAACTTCAATATGCTTTGCTTTATCACAGTGTAGTAGGGGAGTAGATGAACTAGAAAGATGCAAATCCTTAAGTAGTTGTTGAATCCACATAACTTCAGCAGTGGTAATAGCCATTGCTCGATATTCAGTTTCTGTAGAGGACCAGCTTACTGTATGTTGTTTCTTAGAACTCCAAGAAACCGGATTAGAGCCTAAAAACACAACAAAACCAATGGTGGAACGCCTATCATTAGGGTCACCAGACCAATCCGCATTTGTGTATGCCTTAATATCCATGGAACCAGGTTTAAAACATAAGCCAAGACCAATGGTACCTTGAAGATACATCAAAATCCTTTTTACAGCAACAAAATGATCTTTAAGAGGAGAATGCATAAACTGACATACTTGATTAACAGAATACGCAATGTCTAGCCTTTGGAAGGTGAGGTACTGTAATGCTCCAACGATGCTTCTGTAAAGACTTGGATCCAAAACATAAGGGCTACCATGATTGAGTAGCTTGTGATTTGGATGACAAGGAGTGATGCAAGATTTGCAATGAAGCATGTTCATTTTCTGTAGAAGATATGTAACATACTTGGACTGATGAACAAAGATCCCTTGAGCTTGATATTCAATCTGTAAACCAAGAAAATAGTGCAGTAGACCAAGATCCGTCATATCAAAGTCTTTGGTCAATTGACTAATCATAGCTTGAACATGACTCTCAACGCTCCCAGTCAAAATTATATCATCAACATACAAAAGTAGAACAACAATAGACTGACCATTAAACTTCATAAACAATGATAGATCAACATACGAGGATTTAAATCCCAAGGATAAAAGAACCTTGGTAAATCGCTCATCCCAAGGTCTCAGAGCTTGTTTTAAGCCATATAAAGACCGTTGCAGTTTATAAACATACTCAGGGTGATCAACATCCACAAGTCCTTGTGGTTGAGTCATAAAGACTTCTTCATCAAGAAAGTCATGTAAGAAAGCGTTTTTGACATCTAGTTGTTTTAGTTTCCACCTTTTTGAAGTAGCTAGAGATAACATAACCTCACTGTAGTAGGTTTAACTACAGGGCTAAACGTTTCATAGTAATCAAGGCCAGCTTCCTAAGAAAACCCTTTAGCCACTAATCGAGCTTTATAGTGAGCAACCATACAATCAAGATGCTTTTTGACTTTATATATCCATTTACACCCTACTGCATTTTTATTGGGAGGAAGTGGAACTAAACTCCAAGTGCCCTGTTGAACTAAGGCATCCATCTCCTCTTGCATAGCTATTTTCCAATGAGTAGAGAAAAGACATGTTCATCAAATAAAACATGTTTGGACACAACGATTTTATTATCCTGAAGAGAATAACAAATAACGCCCTTATATTGGGTTGCATATCCCAAAAAAATACAGGTGGTGGTCTTAGAATCAAGCTTATTAATCCTATAAGGTTTCAAAGAAGGATAACAAGAACAACCAAACACCCTCAAATGATCTAGTTTAGGTGTTGAATGATACAACATCTCAAATGGAGATTACATGAACAAGACAGAAGTAGGCATCTTATTAATGAGGTCAATAGCTATTGCACAAGCATGATACCAAAACTATGAAGATAGTGGTGCTTGTTGAATAAGTGTTATGGCAGTTTCAACAATGTGACGATTTTTTCTTTCAGCTAAGCCATTCTGTTCAGAAGTGTATGGACAAGACATTTGATGTTGAATACCCTTGCTTCTAAAATAAGCTTGAAACTGAGCACTCACATACTCTCCACCACCATCACTTTGTAAAATTTTGATATTTGCAGAAAACGAATTTTGTATAGAAGCTTGAAATTGAACAAAAGTCTCAAAAACAGTAGCTTTATTCATTAATGGGAATATCCAAGTGTATTTGGTACATTCATCAATGTATGAAACATAATATATAAAACCCTCGATAGACATACTAGGAGCAGGTCCCTAGACATCAGAGTGAATGACTTCAAAAGGAACAATAGATTTTGAAGCCATTAAAGGAAATGGAAGTCTAGTAAACTTGCCTTGCAAGCAAGCAGTACAAGTATGAGGGGTATCAGTACAAGAAAAAGGAATGGCTGCCTTACTAAGAGCTACCTGAGTGACTAAATTGGTAGGATGACCCAATCTGCAATGCCAAAGTGCATAGTTTATTTTCTGACCTATATAAGCTGTTGGAGATGCTTTGGAAGACTTAAGCACAGGAATTGGATAAACGACATTGTTACTCAATCCTTGATAAAGAATTTCCTGAGTGACCTTGTCCTGCATACATACAGAGAATTCATCAACAATACACCTACAGATATTATCTTTGCATAATTAATGCATATAGAGCAGATGTTAAGACAACTTGGGAACATGTATGAGAGACTTTAAATGAAAATTATGTGACTGATGTGATAGATTTGATTTGCCAATATGAGCAATATGCAAACCTTCACCACCAGCTCCAGTGACTGTATCAGAAAAGGAATATAAAGTAGCAATTTGAAGATTAGATAAGTAAAAGGTAATGTGATTTGTAGCACTAGAGTCCAGCAACCAATACTTAGTTTGAGGTGCAGAATGAGAAGCACTGGTTTGTGTAGTCATTGCAACATAAGGCACAGTTTGAGGCATCATTATAAGAGAATTAGAGGAAGAAGAAGCCATCATGTTTGGAGCCTGAGTATAACCGGACATGATATGATTCTGTGCATTGAAAGGCATGCCAGAATGGGAAGACTAAAGCTGCTGAGAATAAAGTGGAACAGTATGTTGCTTGGGCATAGATGGACCTGGAGAAGGGTTTCTGTCAAAACAGGTTACATCCGTATAACCAACTCTATGACATATTTGGCACCCTTGTTGAAAACAAGTAAGAGCACTATGGCCTTTCCTATTGCAAATTTGACAATATTGAAACGATTGATACACTTATCCTGTTGGCATTGAACTGCCTAATTGTTGAAAATACCGAGATTATAGAATGTACTATGATGATGAAGAACTAGGTGCCAAAGGTTGTTGAAATAATTATGAATAACCAGAATAAACCTTCTTCCCTTTGCCTTTTGGTTTGAAATTAGCACCTTAAAAGTTTTTATATGTCCCTGAACCAATGTGAGTCACATATGCAAGTGGTCCATTCAACTGGGAAAATTGCATTGGTTGGACTGATTGCAATTAAGGTAGCTGTGGAAATGTAAGCATCTGTTACAATAGAGGTATCTGTTGCAATTGAGGCATTTAAGAAAATGAAGACATTTGTTGATTTGACTTGATCCAGAAGAACTACTAACCTCAAAACTAGAGTTTGGAGAATTTGCAAACATGGCAGTCATCACAGGAGTTTGCTTAATCACTTCTTCCAATGTTGACTCTTCAGCTCTTAACTGTGATCGAAGTTTTTTAAGAGAAACAAGGTTTTATCTGCCCCCAATGACAACTTTAATAGTATTATACTTCGAAGGAAGACCTCGAAGAGCTATAATGATAATATCTTCATCTGAAATCAACACACCCACAACATCAAGTTAATCTCCACAATCTTTAATTCGTTGCAAATACAAATCAATAGATTCTAGTCCTTTCTTGATATTGTGTAAGTCAATTTTCATCTGAAGAATACCAGTTCTTGTCATATTAGAGAACCTTTCTTTGAGATTAGTTCACATTTCTCTGGAACTTTGGCAACCAATAACACACGAATGTTCCAAATCTTGTATAATGTGGCAGTAATAAGAGTCATTAAAGCTTTATCATGAATCTTCCAAACCTTGTATACATCTGTAAGCACTGATGGATTTTCAATAATCTCATCTACAGAGTCAGAATCTACATACTGATTTGGACAGGGGATGGAACCATTAACAAACCCAAGAATTCCATTGCCATTTAACAAGAGTTCCATTTGAAAATTCTATGTAACATAGTTGGAATCATTAAGTTTCACAATCACAGTATTTCCAACACTAGGAATCAACGAAGAGATCGGTGACTGGGTGAATGCTAACTGAGCAATAGTAACCATTGTATATGAACATAACTAATCAATAAGATACTTTGCTTTAAGAAGAACAAATCAACAGGTCGATAATCGAAGAATCAAGAATCAACACCAGCACACTATAACTCCAACAAATAGTAACATAATCAACACTGAAAAAAGAAAGAATCAAGAAATTAACTATCGACTTAAAAAAAAACTCAAAGAATTTAGGGTTTCAATCATCGACTTCTTAAACCGACTTAGCACCGATAAAGCTTCAGACAACAACAACGAGCGATAGAGACGTAAACAAGAGCACCAACAACGACAGAGACACACGGAAGCAAAAGCACAAGGATCGTTGTTAACTGGAGAAGTTACCCATCGCCGGTGAAGATACCATGTTAACAAATCTTATAGAGAGTTTTAAGAGAGAAAGTGGAGAGAGATATGTATTTCTTCAATATTTTACAGCATTGATTCATGAATTATTACATCACTTGTTTATATATAAATACATCCTCATATAACTAACTCATCTAATACCCTTGTGATACATGGTACACATCTAATACGTAACACTTGGCACAATCCTAAGCTAATCTTTATAGCCTAGCACTATGGAGCGTGGTTGTTCATGGTGTTACACTGCTTCATGTTTTAGCAGCAACCTCTACTTTTTTTTCCCTTTTTGAGATGAAATTCCCTGTTTAAAACACATAAGAGTAGACTATATCCTATCTAAATCTACCCAAGATAGGTTTGAATTAGAAAGGTACAACACAAATTTTCTAAACATTCCACATGTTATCTGTAGATAAGTTAATGCATGCCAGAGTCAGGTGCAGCACAAAGTGTGCACTTGTGATATCTTGACTGGGGCAATCATTACTAGATAGAGCATTGCATGAATATTCAGACACAATATTCTATGTGCAAGTGAGATACTTAGTGCATTGTAGAAAGCTAAATCTAGGCTAAGTCTTGACTTAACAATCTTCCCCTTTGATTTTCTTTGACAATCCCAAAAATAAAAACAAGAAAAATGCCATTGTTCATTTCCTAAACAACACCTGCAACCTTCTAGAGCTTTTAACAAGAGCAAGAGATTATGTCATAGAAAAATAGTAGAGTAACATTGTTTTTCCCCCATTTTTCCATGGAAAGGCAAAAAAAAGGAAGAAAGAAAGAGCTACCAAGAGAGAAGTAGCACTCATATAGTCAACAAGCACTCATGATGCAAACAGATCTAACAAAAGATACAAGCTAACAACCATATCAAATAACATATATGATGCACTCATATCTGAAAGGTATAAAAAAAATCAAAATATCTAAGAGAATTAGCAAAGGCTATCTTGACTAGCAAAGTGTACTAGCCAACAACAGTGAAATGGTAGATCATACACACAGCGATCAGTAGAAGAAGTGGATACTCCTCCATAAGCTGATCTACTTTATACTTTTTCAACTAGAATAAGTGGAGACTCCCCCACATTAAAAGCTAGTTATAGATGTGTTCAACAAAATAAGTAACTCCTTAAAGGGAACCAAGTATCCCATGATACTTGAATAAGATGTTCGAGAATTAAAAGAACTAAATAAAATGACTTAAACTAAAACTTAAACAACCATTGACATCCTGATAGCCTTTTGAACAACAATAACCACTTGACTGTTTGAATAAAGCCTAATTACTCTTCCACTCATTCACCATTCTCTCATCCTATAGCATTCCGTAAAAGTATTCATCTTCATCACTTTCACCATTTGTTGGAACCAAATTCGCGCACCTCCATGAGCTGTGGTTGAGCATAAATTTGAGCAACCTGCAAAACAGTGAAATAAGTGTGAGTAAGCCCAAGGCCCGAAGAGGGATGTCGACTAAAGGCTCTCTGATGGTCAAGTTAGTGAATGATTTTAGACTTAAGTAGTGGGTAAGTGATAGGAGCATATTTAGGCGAC